TGCTTCAGTTCTGCAGGAGGGCTGCTGGCATTGATTAAGTAAGTTGCCGGTTGCAAGATCATCTGGTTCAGTGTTGGGCATATTTTCAGACTCAACATTTTATGTATCACTTGCTGTATGTACAAGCAAATAACTTCAACTAGGCCAGCCTCGTTGTGAAGAAATTTCCCTGGTAACCAATGAAGAAATACTGAAGATTTGCCAGTTTGACTCCTTGGAGACAGACAGCAGTTGTCTTCCTTTGTCTACCCCGCTACCTTCTATGTGGCACTTCACCAATAAACTAGGAGTGAGAAAGTAAATAAGTGGTACTTCTACTCTGCCTGAGGATACTTGAAAACAACTTGTTCTCTTAAGTGGATTAAATAATTCCTCCCTGAAGATCTCATTACCTGATAATTTTGTAAAAATTAACTTTTTCTTTATAGAAAGGGGATAAGGAAACTTTGATTATAACTGGTAGCTAAGAGCCAAGCTTGCCTAGGCTCATTCATGATCCCAGCACTTACAGGCAGTGTGGTTTACAGAAACTTAATTCACCTTTCTGCGCTTCCATTTCTTACCTGTAATATGAGCATTATAACAATCTTATAAATTGCTGTGAGATCGTACTTCAAGCATTTCCTGGTACAGAGTAAGTGCTCAGTACATACTCTTCCCCATCTCTCTTGATGTTTTCCCTCGGCCTGAATATCCCTGGGCACACTGTTTGCTTTGAGAAGTAGCCAGTGAAGGGTTATGAGAAATAGTGTGGTTTATGACCCAAATGACAAAATGAATTGCCTTTGTCATCTGTTCTTTATGGATTTTCATTGATTCTTCTGTATGAACTGAATCCTGTCAGTTTCTTCAACTCTGTAGTAATGATCACAGTGTTTAACATTTTGATAAAATAATGGAAGCATGTGTGTGTGAGTGTGTGTGCGTGCACGCGTGCATGAGAAACAAAGTGAGGGAGAAAGAGAGACAGAAATTTTTAAGAGTTAACTTTTTGTTTCTATTTTCAGTGGTATCAGTTTCCATGAATAAGCTGATATAAAAAAATAGTAATTTCCCTTTAAAATACAAACATATAAATGCCATTTTGCCTGAAAGTATTTCTTAAAGTTAACAACTCTAATAATTGGATGCAACTTTTCTGTTATGTTAAAAGAGGACAGATTTTCTTTTTCTTAAGAAGATTTCTACATATATTCTTCAATGTTTCAATAATTTTCAAATTCTGATTTCTGTTTCTGCTACTGGCTATGAATGTGTTGAGGTTTCAAAGCATTCAGTTTGGCCCTACATGTATCAAAAATGCTGCTCATTTCTTAGCACAGTCTACAGATTCACAAAGCCTGCCTGATTCTCCATATCCCTTGTCACCTGCAGCGGCAGAGCACTCAAGGTCACGGAAGAAGGGAGAAAGGCCATGCATGGGTTATACCTGCCAGCAAAACAGGTGACAGGCAGCCAGTCTGAGCCATCTCAGCTCCACCAGAAAGTTTATGTTCTAACAGGCTGAATCTAAAGACTTTCTAACTGCCCACACATGTCATGGAACACCTGCGGTCCACTATTTGAGGTCCTCTGCTCCCTGATTTCTATACACTTGCCCCTCCTGCTTTTCTTCCTGCAACCTCCTCTTCTGCCTGTCTGAAAAAGTTTAGTTTTATTCCAAGCCTTTTAAAATATTATTTTTAGTATAATAATAGGTAATCTTTATTTTAAATGCCACAACTCTAGTCTCTCTCCAGCGTCCTAGGTACCACAGTCACGAAGCTTCTTATTTGCACAAAAATAAAACTGTGGTCTTGAGTCAGGATAAGTAGGGTTAGGACCCATATTTATTTATCCTGTGTGTAAAGCCCCATGGGCCCCTTTTGCAGCTGGCTTTTTTCCCCTTGCACCCTCATGCATCAGCACCTAACTCTTTTGCAAGATAACTGGATCCTACCGAATACCAACAGACTGCCAGATGGTTACAAGTTTCTGATACTCAATATGGGTTTGGGGAAGAGAACAAAAGTCCCTTATTCCTGATATAACTTCCCCAGTCTCCAACCAGTCATCACCAAAAACACAAGAAGCTATTAGCTGCAAATTTCTGCCTCCTGGGCATTGGGAGAAGGGCAGAGACTTCTGCAGGGTCCTACGCATGTAGCTAGATTCAAGGTTTAGCTTACAGTAATATTTTTCTCATTTTAATATAAAAAAATACTTAGATAGATTTTATGTGCGAATGATACATGTGATGTGTGTTCAGGAATGTGGATACTGAGTGCCTGTGTTAACCACAGATCCACCTTTACATGCTTGACCTCACCAGTGTTTTATGAATATGTCTGTGCAGTCTATGCCCTTGGAGGGCATTCCCTTCAAGGCACTAGGGGTTATCTCTGTCTTTTTGAGCAGCTCACTTTGCCTCTAAGATTTTGAGAGCAAATCTAAAGTAAATGTAGACAAAGTAGTTTGTTGCACCTCACTTTTCAATGCTTTCACTTTGATAAAAACTTCTTGTCTACTCTTACTTGGAATTCACTCTCAAAATCTTTTGTGCAGAGAAATCAGCAACCTGAACAAGCCTACTGACAACAGTCTTGCCAACTTTTCTACCAACTTCATTCTTTCTTATTTTATTTTTACTTTAAGTTCTGGGATACATGTGCAGAATCGGCAGGTTTGTTACATAGGTTTACATGTGCCATGATGGTTTGCTGCACCTACCAACCTGTCATGTAGGTTTTAAGCCCCACATGCATTTGTCCTAATGTATTTGTCCTAATGCTCTCTCTTGGATATGAACTCATTCTTTTATGTGGCTGCATAGTATTCCATGGTATATATATATACCACATTTTCTTTATCCAGTCTATCATGATTGGCATTTGGGTTGGTTCCAATCTTTGCTATTGTAAATAGTACTGCAATAAGCATACATGTGCATGTCTCTTTAGAGTAGAATGATTTATAATCCTTTGAGAATATACCCAGTAATGGAATTGCTAGATCAAATGGTATTTCTGTTTCTAGATCCTTGAAGGATTGCCACACTGTCATCCATAATGGATGAAATAATTTACACTCCCACCACAGTGTAAAAGCATTTCTATTTCCCCACATCCTTGCCAGCATCTATTGTTTCCTGACTTTTTAATAATTGCCATTCTAACTGGCATGAGATGGTACTTTATTGTGGTTTTGATTTGCATTTCTGTGATGATGAGCTTTTTTATATGTTTGTTGGCTGCATAAATGTCTTCTTTTGAGAAGTGTCAATTCATATCCTTTGCCCACTTTTTGATGAGGTTGTACAAACTCCATTCTTTGTATTGCACAGCTTCTTCCTCCTAGGAGCAAGTTTATGGTCCATGGCCTCTTTATCCAGTGCACATTTTCTGCTTTTCCATTATAGCACTTACTACAATGAATAACCAGAGTGTTTTATCCATGGTCTCTCATTCATTTCTGAGATACTTGAGAACAAGAATCCTGTCTTAATTGTGCCTGATATCTGTCACTGTGTGTATGATGAGCACGGAGTAAGCAGTTAAGAAATGCCAGGGAAATAAAAGAATGCATCTACTTTTTAAAAACATTGTCACCATCTTTTTTCATATAAGTAGATGTGAACAATTCATAAGACAAACTGATAGAGACAGAAAGTAGATTAGAAGTTACCAAGGGCTAGGAGGAGGGATGAATGAGGAATTATAAATTAAGGAGTACAGAGTTTCTGATTGGGGCAATGGAAGAATTTGGAAGTAAAAGTGGTGGTGGTTGTACAACACTGTGAATGTCTTAAGTTAGTAGTAATGGCAAAACCGCAGTTACTTTTGCACCAACCTAATAATTAATGACCCCGAGTCATGCACTTAAACATGATTTTAATAATAACTTTTATGTTACATATATGTATACACATTTTTTCCACAATAAAATTTTTAAACAATGTATTTATAAACACAAAAGGCATTGAAAGCAAGGTAACGAAAAGAACATTTTCTAAAAGGAAGAGCTTATTTGCTAAATTAAGAACTTATAAAAGGAAGCTCAGCATTAGTCTCAGAAACAAATGCAATGGTGATAATAGTTTTTTTCACTTATTCTCATTTCAGACAAATATGGCAACAGAAAAAAATTATTCATCCATGCAATGAATTTTAAAAATGAATGAGTGAATAACTGAATGATTTTTTTAAAAAAACAAAAAACATTTAAATAGAGGAATATCTAAGGTTGAATTCATGGGCCCAGCCCAGTACGGTTCATTGCTTTGCTGATCAGGCAGCTGTTAGCTGGTCAAGATGGTCTGTGATCTACATGCACGTAGAACATCCATGGACACATCTGCCATTTGTGTTTGATAGGATGGGCTGTCAAGGCGAACAGTCATGGGTCTTAATGGTCAGATCAAACAAATTTGTGCCACGGATCTGTCTCAGATTTTGTAACCTCTCTAAGAATTTTAATCTCACTGAAGCGAAGTTTTCTTATCTGAAAAGCGAAAGAGAAAAAAAAGTCCAACATCATTGCTTTTTTGTGGAAGTAAAGAACACCTGATTAGGGCCTGTCACACACAAGTTCCTTGCTTATTCAGAGTTATTTTTATTACAGAAGTTCAAATAAATTCATGTTGAACAAATAGTTATTCCACAGAAAATATTATGGGTTCTGAAAAGAATATTAATGCCAGATATTCATGGCATAATAGTTTTTCTTTCTTTGCTAAATTTTTACTTAGTAGTCTTTGTAAGTTATTCAATGTTAGTTCATCTAAAATTCTAAGCTATAGCTCAGAGGCTTTGGGGAAATACCCATCAGTGTTCAGAGCAACTCTGTTGTTGGTGATCTGTAATTTATCTTTTCTAAGCAAACATAGGAGTTACAATTGAGACCCATGCCTTACCTTGGAGGATTAGTCTTATAAGCACTGATTTCCATGTATAGAGTTTTTTCTAACCCTTTTCTCTTTTCCTTTTTCTCTTTCCCTTCCTCCCATGCTGACTTTGGTGTAGCAGACCACTTGGGAATTGAATTCATGGGTAAGACTAAACAATTTGCTCATTTAATATCTCGAAAATGCTAAGCTTTATAATGTGTATAGCACTTTCCTTCTCCATCTGATTATAATTGAAATTATAATTTATTGTTGATTTTTCACTAAGTAATGGCTCAAAAGGAAAGAATTAACTACTTATTGGGAAGGCAATTTAATGCTAAGTGCAGTGTCTGGAATCATAAAGAAGTTGTATTTGGCTCCTGGCTTTGATTATTTCCTCTAATTCTCAACTTTCGTATCTGTAAAATAGGGATAATAATAGGTTCTATTTTCTGCACATATAAATTGCTTAGCATAATGTCTACAACATGGCAAACACTCAATTAAAAAAATCAATGATTTTTAGATTAAGTCCCTTTCCTTTTGTGAGATGATTACTTTGGATACATTTTGGTATCAATTTTAATTTGGAGTGTGGGCTATTAAACATTTTCATTCACAGAATTAAAATGTTTCTTTTAAAGTATTTGGAGTGAATGGTGTATGTTTTAAAGCATTAGAATGCCTTCCATGATCACTATTTTTATAGTCACAGATAACTGCATTGAAAATTAGAGCTAATTCTCTGAGTCTATGGTTGTAAGTTAAATGAAGACAGAATGTTTCTAAGGTTCAATAGCATCATGGTATACAGATGGACAGACACTCAGGAGTCAGAGTTAGGGAAATTGAGAAGATCTAAATTTGAATCCAAATTCATCTGCTTCCTTGGATTCTGTTAAATTCAGATTTTTTCTCTTATACGATTCGGATATGAATACTTGCTTTATAGATGAATGTTTATTGTGATGAAAATTATACACATAATTGTATTAATTTATCTATTCGCCCATTTATTCAGCAAATACATGTCAAGCCACTATAAGCAAAGAAATAATACATGATGCCAGAGATAAAATAGTGAGTAAAAATGGACAAAAAGCCTAGTCTAACGGAGCTTATAGTGTAGTATTATAGATGATAATCAGATAATACAACTAATAGAAAATTTCAAGTTTCTTAAGACATACTCCAGGGAAGAAGATATTAGCTTGGACTAGTGTGATAATAGAAAATATGAGGAAAAGTTGATAGATATTTAGGAAGTAATATCTAGTGTTTGAGAAGGATTGATATTAAAGGTTGGAAGAGGGAGAGTTATCAAGGATGACTGCCAAGTTTATAGTTCAGAGCTCCAGATTAAAAAGTGGGCCACTTACTGAGAAAGAATTCTGACAGAAGAACATATTTATGGGAAATGTTCACTAGATTAGATATACAAGTGTTGATTTGGGATGCCTTTGACATATTTGAGTGATAGATGTTAAGTTGGTGGTTGTATTGTTGGAAGTGTTGAGAGTTAATTAGAAATTTGTGAAACATCTTTACACTGGAATTGGTGTTTCCAATTGTATGGTATTACTCATTATTGCTCCATTCTGTAGGTATTCCATCATAGGAAAGGCAGACAGCTCAATTCCTACATGCTTGCAGTTTTGCTGGATAGATGTAATGAAAAAACAGAAAATCAATGAAATTCAGGATGTTATTCAAATGAAGCACCATGGAATGTGAGATAGTTGTGGAAGGAAGTGAAAGAAGGATGACTCGTCGCAATAAAATCAATTTCAATTAATAGTCATCATGGGAGTGCTTTAACAAGCTGGTGGGAAGGAGAGATTATAGTCATATGGGAGATTGGTTGATTTTGATGTTGAAGATGGAGGAGTTATAGGAGATGATAATATTGAAAGTATTCCTATGAGAGTAAATAACCAAACTGAGGTTGAGGAAGAAATAATTTGAAACTAGAGGTCAAGTACTTAAGAGGACATAGTTTTGAATAAGTTATCTAATGGATAGTCCAGTTACTCATGATAATGCTAGAATTGGGATAGAGAGTAAAAAAAACTTTATATGTAAAGTTTCCCATTAATAATATAAACTATATTGGAGTTTAGTAGATGACAATGAAGAGTATAGTTAAGGGTAATGTCAGATGCATCAAAAAGTAGAGCCCACATTATTATAATGGCTCAAGGACAGTAGCAATTTATTTCCTGATACTATTTTTTCTTCTCCAAGTTAGGGGTATTTCCTGTTTAAGGTAGCAAATGACTAGCTTTATCCAAGTAGTGAATTAGAGATCCAGGCTTCTTCCTTCTTATGGTTTCATTATTACATAGGTTTCTTTATTATCTGCATGTAGTCAGCAAATGGGGAAAGAGAAAAGAGCCAATGCATGCCCAATTCTTTTTTTTCTTTTTTTTAAAAATTGTATTTTAGGTTTTGGGGTACATGTGAAGAACATGAAAGATAGTTGCATAGGTACACACATGGCAGTGCGATTTGCTGCCTTCCTCCCCTTCACCTATATCTGGCATTTCTCCCCATGCTATCCCCAACTCCCCACCCCCTGCTGTCCCTCCCCTATTCCCCCAAACAGACCCCAGTGTGTAGTGCTCCCCTCCCTGTGTCCATGTGTTCTCATTTTTCAACACCTGCCTATGAGTGAGTACATATAGTATTTCATTTTCTGTTCTTGTGTCAGTTTGCTGAGAATGATGGTCTCCAGGCATGTCCAGTTCTTCAAAGACTGATCTACAAGAACTCACATCACTTTTTGATTAATATTCTGTTAGGTGGGACTAAATCACACGACCTCATTTCACTGTAAAAAACGGCTGGGAAATGGAACCCTGAGAGAAAAGAGGAAACGTGTAAATGCCAATGTGTAAATGCCATAAACTTTAAAGGAACAGGATTTTTCATAAGAGACAATTGAAAAAGTACTTTAGAAGCCAGGAGGACAGATCCCCAACATTGAAAGTGAGAAAATAAAAACAACTCTTGAGCCAGGTAGAGGAAAATGAGCTTTTTCAGGCAAGATTCAGGTTTCAGTTAAAATAGAAGAAAATAAAGAGTCAAAGAAGGGATTGAGAATGCAGAGGGTGTGTTGCTGGATGTAGACGAGAAATTTCATGGAGTCAAGTGGAGAGTTTAATTAGTGGAAGAGGAGTAGAAAGCTGAGTCATGGGCTACAAATTATGGAAAATTATGGGCATATTTTTTAGTAAGGATACATTGTTGAGAAGGGCACACAATTTGTACCCTCCTCATTCGCTGATGATGGCAGGGATTCGTAGCATGGAGGTATGAGCATCAGTAGTCATTTTGAATAAAATGGGCCCTGGACTTCTTGTTCAAGAGAAATTGCCCCCCACTAGTCCGTGGTGAATGCAGGCTCAGTGAGGCTTTATAAGTTGTTCAGTAGCATGCCCTCAAACACAGGAAACACTGCGTGTCTGCTGCTGGGGATGGGGTAGCTCTATACCCTAGTGTAGCCATGACTGTAGCAAACTAAAATTGCCATGCAAATGTTAATTAGTGATGAAAGAAATGGACCAGTCTCCATTCTATTGTACTTCCTATTGTGTCTGAAGACCGCCAGTGGCACTGGTAACTTACAGAGTAATGATTTGCTATAGATCCAATCTATGTATTAACAGTTCTGTTTTAGAACTCATTTAAAGAAATGTAGCTACTGATATTAGGAAAAATAGTAGATTGTTATGTAGTTCATCTACATGAATTACAAGACTAAGGTAATGGTGAATTTTGCAGATGATAAACTCTAATCATAGCTATAAGACCTTATGGGAAATGAATTCTCAGTGGGTGAATGTTTGACTACAGCAATAGAGATCATCTTGGAGGGAAGGGGAACAAGTCAGAGTTAAAGGAAGTGGCTGGGGCCGGGCGTGGTGGCTCATGTCTGTAATCCCAGCACTTTGGGAGGCCGAGGCGGGTGGATCATGAGGTCAAGAGATCAAGACCATCCTGGTCAACATCCTGTCTCTACTAAAAATACAAAAAATTCGCTGGGCATGGTGATGCGTGCCTGTAATCCCAAGCTACTCAGGAAGCTGAGGCAGGAGAATTGCCTGAACCCAGGAGGCGGAAGTTGCGGTGAGCTGAGATTATGCCATTGCACTCCAACCTGGGCAACAAGAGTGAAACTCCGGCTCAAAAAAAAAAGGGGGGGGAGTGGCTGGTCTGCATATAGATAATGGCAGCTAGTGAATAGCTTTATAAATTTAGTGAATATACTGTTTTCACTGACCTCATAAATTTACCCCCACAGATTGTTCTAATTGAACACATAAAATTCTGTTTGCTGCTTTGAGGACAATATTTTCAGATTTAATTTTTTTTATTTCTTGTCTTTGAAACGGAGTCTTGATCTGTTGCCCAGGCTGGAGTGCAGTGGCGTGATCTTGGCGCATTGCAACCTCTGCCTCCCAGGTTCAAGAGATTCTTCTGTCTCAGTCACCCAAGTAGCTGGGATTACAGGTGCCCACCACTATGCCTGACTACTGTTTGTATTTTTATTAGAAACGGGGTTTCACCATGTCAGCCAGGCTGGTCTCTAACTCCTGACCTTAAATGATCCACCCACCTCAGCCTCCTAGAGTGCTGGGATTACAGGCATAAGCCACCATGCTTGGCTAGATTTAATTTTGATAATAGAATCCACATGGGTAAAATTTATTTCATTGGAAGTGCTACCATCCCTAGTAATATGACATCTCTAGGTATAAATTCAGCTGGGAAGCAGAAATATAGGCATAGTCTATATAAGTTTAATAATGTCAGTTTACTATTGTGCCAATAATTAATCAGTGTTAGTTCTATTTGTGTGTGTGTCAAGTTCTTTAAAGGACTTGATTTTCACAGTTTTAAGTTCATAGAAAAATTGGGTACAAATTACAGAGATTTTTCATGTATTCTCTGTCTTCCAACATGCACAGCTCCTCCCATAATCAAGATTTCCCACAAGAGAGGTACATTTGTTGCAATTTAGAAACCTACATTGACTTTTCATTATCACTGAAAGTTCAAAGTGTATATTATGATTCATTCTTGATGCTATACTTTTTATGGATTCAGACGATGTATAATGATATGTACCCATTATTATATTATCATACAGAGTATGTTTAT